TTTCTTGCATCACTTTATTCAACTTAATCTTCTATGAGGCTGTTTTTAATGTTAGAATATGTTGGTTGACGTATCTCTTTCCAGTTCATGGTCGCTTTAGTAGAGTGGAAAGTGGCAGTCAAACATGATGGTGGTGTTGTTCAGTTGATTCTATTCCATTCGTGTTTAGTTTCTTCTGGCAATGATGTTCATCTTTATTTTGTATGATTATGAAACTGCAGGCCTCAAAGATTGGAGGAAGGGATAACGAAGCATCCAGGGAAGTGTTCATTAGGTGAGCTCTTTAAATTTATTCCATTTAGAACTATGTCATAGCCATTGGGAATTCAACATAAAACTTTTCCTTCTCTTTCTGTGCCAATTGAGGGTCATATCTCTTTATATTAATGAGTCATTTATTTGTTCTTGATGATCTACCTCGAAAGCTTCGGTTTTCATAAGTAGATGAGAACTTGAGATTCTAACTATTGTTAAGTACTTACACCAATGTTAGTCCTCACGTAATTGGTGTTTACATAAGTAGATGAGCATCCTTGACTGCGAAAACCTCATGTTCTATCTTATGGACTTTGGCTCGAGATCTTTCTACGTGTATTGCAAGTTGTTGTTCTTTCATGGTTGCTTTGTTTTCCTGTATGCTCAGTTGTAGCTTTTATTAAATTACGCTAATACGGTTTTGCTCATTGTATTAATTTTGTTGCAGAGGAAGTTGTTCACATTCTCTCTACTCATCACGCGAGGCAACAGTAAGACCACATGAAGGAGGTTGGGTTTGAGGCGCGCGTGATAGACTCTCCTTTCAAAATTCACTATCTTGGTCTCTGCTGTTTCAGTTTTCAAGAAGGGAGGAAAGAGGTTCGCCAGACAGGTTGCAAATAACAAATGTAACCCTTCAAACTGTTGGCACACGGATCTATCACTTTTGGTTGCTTAATATTTGATAGGAAAAGGCTAGAATTAATTACTTTTAAACAGAGTTGAGATCATATTTGCAATATATTCAAACTAACTCGGGAGGAATCTGAGGAGAAGATGAACAGAAAGACAACAGATGGATATGAAAAGGGAAGTTTTATGGAGTGATTATATGATAGGGTTTTGTTATATACTTTCGTACGCTATTTCCCCTGACCAAATCCTGGGATTAGTAGTGGCCATATGTTTCAAATTCTACGGTTTGAGTAAGTGCATCTTGCATATGGGATCCCTTTTTCTGAGATTTCTGGATTGGGTGTCCATTCTGCTCTACTATAGTAGATCAATGTAGTCAAAAGCGTGTTTCTACGTAGAAACGTTTTGGTGATTTAGAAGCGTAAAACCGTAAGTTTTTAAGCTTTGAAGCGTAGTTTTTAACTACATTAGTGATAAAAATTGAGATTATGCGTAAAAGCGTTTTGGTGAGCTAGAAGCGTCGTAAGTTTTTAAGTTTTAATGCGCGATTTTGACTACATGCGAGAATGGAACGTGAATATCAAACCTGATCAAATAAGATATTGTACCCACTGAGATCATGGCGAGTACTCATCATCTGTCAGTGAAATAGTCTAAGGGCACAACTTAGCTGAGATATAGACTCACACTCTTCCAAAATCTAACACAATATCAACGTAAGATTCGTGAGGAAAGAAATTGCATCGCAGTTCTTAAACCAAACAGGCCTATTAAAAAGCGGACAATCTCACTTACTCAATGGATTACAAAGTCCCAACGAATGTTTGTAACAATTCTCAATTACTCGGGAATGGAGGGTAGATTGTAATATTTACCTTTCGTACTATATCTATTTGCGTACTTGAGAGTTGCAAAATTAATCAATGGATTACGACATTATTGCTCAGACTATTTTCGCCCAATGGTCTCAGTTTATCCACAGATGTTTGAACAAGGGTTTTAATATAATTTGTGGAATTTTTAGTTATTATAAAATATAGATTTATTATCTGGCAATCGATCGATGATATTTGTGCAAGTTAAGGGCGCTACTTTCCTGACAAAATTGGTTTGTTTCAATATTCTATTATCTCCTTTTGTTTGGTTCGAAAGAAATTCTTTTAGATCAATACAGTTTGCACAACCCTTTGTCCATACCTGTTATTTAACACTACGGTCAAGAATGATTATGTAAAAGCCATTCAAAAGGTAAAGAGACTGCCGAAATAGGCATGCCTATAAAATACTTATAAATACACGATCCGTTGAAAAAAAAATCGATTTAGATTACCGATGAAATTAATATAAAAAAATCCGGCCAACCGGCCGGGTTCAAGCTAGTTGTTTTATTAAGGGTTAATACCTTATTTTGGCCCGAACTATGCCATATAATCAACTTTGGCCCGTGGTTTCAGAAATTAACATTCTGACCTCAACTATGCAGCATATAGACTCAATTGGCCCGACACATAGTTTGACCGTCAATTTGGACGGTCAACTCCGTTGACCATTAGTCAACACGCCATGTCATTGCTTAGTCAGTCTAAAAATCATTAAAAAATGCAAATTCAAAATTTTTTCTAAATTTTTATTTATTTATTATCAAATTAACCAAAAATAAATTATAAAAAAATAAAATAAATTTGATTTTTTATTTTTTTGGATAATTTGAAAAATGATAAATTTTATAAGTTAACCAAAAATTATCAAATTATTTTATATTTTTAAAACTTCCCACAAAAATATAATTTATATCATAATTTTTAAATTTATAAAATTTAATTTGATACTTTTTGGTTAATTTATAAAATTTATCGTTTTCAAATATCCCAAAAAAGTTATTTATATTTTTAGAATTTTATTTTTTGGTTAATTGGAAAATGATAAATAATAGAAATTAGGAAAATAATTTGAATTTAAATTTATTTAATGATTTTTAGGCTGACTAGGCAATGACATGACATGTTAACTAACGGAGTTGACCGTCCAAATTGACGGTCAAACTATGTGTCGGGCCAATTGAGTCTATATGCTTGTGCATGGTTGCGGTCAGGATGTTAATTTCTGAAACCACGGGCCAAAATTGATTATATGGTCAAAGTTCGGGCCAAAATAAGGTATTAACCCTTTTATTAACCTATTAAGTTGTTTTATAATAAAGATGGGGTTATTATTTTGTTTATAAATTTTATTCTCTTATAATGATTAGATTTCTATCCAAATCGATCCAAACAATGACTTAAGAACTCTATAGGATCTTGAAACTAATGGCTGGATTTTAATTTATAAATTTTATTCTCTTATAATGATTAGATTTCTATCCAAATCGATCCAAACAATGACTTAAGAACTCTATAGGATCTTGAAACTAATGGCTGGATTTTAATTTACCATAGTTCAAAACACCATCCAACGGCCCTAAATATGTTCATTCATTGAGAGGAGAAATAGAAAGGCAAGTGGGAGCCTGGGAGGCTGAAACAAAAAATATAAAACGACGCCGTTGCCGGGGATCGAACCCGGGTCACCCGCGTGACAGGCGGGAATACTTACCACTATACTACAACGACCTTTTTGTTAATTTGGCATGCTATAATTTATTAATTCTATAGTATGGCGCGAATTTAATATAAAATGGTCACGATTTACAGATCAATGGCGCGAATTTTGATTTCGTTTTCTGGAGACTGGAAGAGCAGAACGTTGTCCAATCTTCTCGCTTCTTCTTTCAGGTCTCTCTCTCCCTCGTCCCTCCCAATCTCGCAGAGTCGACTTGGTGCGTTTCGGTTGGGCGAGGAAATGCGAACTCGTTTCCTGAGCATAGACTACTTCAGCTCTTGTTCGTCTTCGTCTTCTTCCGTCGAAACCCTAAGTATCGTTGAGCTCCCGGTTCCTGACCTCGCTACTCCGCGTCTCTTCAATGAGGAGGAGGATTTCCATGGCTGCGAAGACGTCGCTGCTTTTGCGCTCGAGATCGGGAAATTTCCTATCGAAGCTGCCATATTGAGGTTTATTGCGGAAGTAGTGCCTCAATTCGTTGATACTGCAAATTTCGGAGATGTCTGGTTGTGGAGAAGATGGACGAGGTTCAGCCGGCGAGCTTTGGGCATTCGTCCTCAGAAGTGATCAGAACAGACTCCACAAGGTAGATTTCAGTACACTTCGAACGATCACATGCATGAGTGCTTTTCTGTACCGTCTGTGATGCCAATTTGAATCTCGAGCTGTGAGAATGCAAGTTCAAATTAAACGAGTGATTGAAATATGTCTTTTGTATCCCGTTCAGTGGACGTAGTTTGATCTATTTTGCAAGGGGAGCCAAGAAATTATCTTCAGAAGACCAGAGCACTGACCTGAAAGAGTTTCCAGCACAAAGAAGTCGGGCAGGAAGTTCTGTTAGGTTACCTCCAGAAGAGATGCCAAATTCTGGCCATCATCACTCTCTAGAAACGTACAGTGAAACACCACTGTCTATACTATAGCCACTCATTCCTCTGAACCTCAGACTAGTTCACCATGGACGATGGAGTTTCTTAGTGGCATCAGAGAGAGGAGCAGATTGCGGAAGCTTTCCTTGCAAAGCAATATATCTCCTGCCGCTCTGGGCTATGCAATAGATGTATCTAAAGGCACAAAGAGGAAAAGCCCTTCCGTCCTCAACTTTTTCAAGTACCAAGGACACCACACTCCCGATAGAAGATCTGGACCCATGAAGCAGAAGCCACCTACTCGGTCATCAAGCGCATCAAGAATTGGGAGAGTTCAGGTATCACTGTCTCCAATAAGGACTCCTATCGATCGAAGGGAAAAACAGGTGATATGAAGTTCCACTTGTTTAGCTGGTGCAAATCATTCTCTTGTTTTTGGTCAGCTGATTGTTAGATATCATTCTCTCTTCTTTTCACCGAATGTTTCCTCACCATGTTGTCAAACTTAATATTTTCAGACACTGTCATTTGCAAAGAATGGTAGTGGAAGTCAAACTAGGCTAGTATGGACTGATGGTGGTGTGAGGCATTTGAACAAAAGGATGCGGAATCAATAGTGAAAGTTCGTTCAGCAAATAGGTAGCAACACAGATTTATTTGGATCAACATTGTTAAAAATGGAGGTTGGTTCTCATATATTAACTTTCAAATTGTACATCTGTAGCAGGCTGATTTTTGCATTTTAGAGGACCGATGTTGATACTTCAACCTCTATAAGGAGCAATGCCTGCATGATGTGAAAACATATACTTTATGATTGCTCTCGCCATGGAATAGTAAGGAAGGAGCAGCACTCAACATTTGTTTACTGGTCTTACAGCAAGAATTTCCTTTTAGCTCTTCTTACCATTTTTCAGGTTACGTACAGTCATGACCAACTGCTGCCTTTCTCCTTCTACCTCAGCAAATTTGAGGCTTATATCCGAATATCTCACCTCCATTTCTTTCAATTCACTTTCCATGCGTCTGTTCTTTTCCTTGATCTGTGCCATCTCATCCAGCATTTCTGTCAGGTTGCAGTTTTTCAGTTGTTGCTCTGTGCGTGTCTTTGCTTTCCTGTAGAAAAAAAGTATTGAGAGTATTACTTATGCGAGGCAGCTATGCGAAGTGCCGAGTCTGATTGCATAGAAATTTGGACTAACAACTGGCCTATTGATGCACGCAAAAAACCCATCATAAGTTCAGAGGCAAAGGGGGTAAACTTCACCATTTATCAACGGCTTCATTATCTGAGAGCAAGAGATCATATTCCTTCTTCTGTAGCTCCCCATTCAATTGAAGGATTTGCTTCCGCAGGTTCTCTTTCTCTAACTCCTCTTCTGACAGGCTACATATGAACTTATTATGTTGATCTTTCAGTCCTTCTACTTCCAGCTGTAGCCTCTTCAGCATTGTCTCCCTTTCATCCTTCAACGACCTCATGTTTTCCAACTCTTTTCGAACCTTTTCTGCTTCTTGCTTTGCTGATGTATATTTTCTCTCCAATTCTTTTTTTCCTTTGCTCTGTCTTCCAATCTCTATTGCTGTTTCTCCAAGTGATGCCTGCTTGGAGGTGTCTTCTGTTGTGAGTGCTTCTATTTTAGCTTTGAGCATTTGAATTTCCTTAGAGAAAGCTTCTTGCCTTCCTTTTCCTTGCTTCTGCTCACTTTCCAGCTGCATCGACTTTTCTTCTACTTCCAATGAAATCTCTTCCATCATTTTTGTCCTGAGATCAAGTTGAGTCAATAGCTCTTCCACTCGCACTTTGTTCTGGTCTCTAATTACTGCAATCTCTTCATAAGCTTTGTTAAGCTTTTCTTCCATGATCCTATTCTGCTCCCGGAGCTTGTCTGATTCCATTTGAGCACTTGTCATACGCTTCTCATTGTCTTCAATTTTTGCGGCCATTTCCTGTGAAAGCTTTTTAAATTCCTCCTGGAGACGCTCTGCTGTTACAACATTTTTCCACCTTGTCTTCCTCAAGGCCTCTTCTGAAAGAATAGCTCTTTGTTCCTGCTCGATTTTGGCCTGGGTCAAATCATCCAGATCTTTCTCGAATCCCACTGCCTGCTTCTCAAGTTCCTTCTCCAATGCTTTGACTTGACCTTCAAGTTCATTGATATGGAGCAATGATTCAGACTGCTCTTCTGTCTGATCTCTCATCTTCTGCTCTACTCTCCTTAGCTGTGATTCAAGTTCTTTGATAGTCGCTAATTGTTCAGAGCGTTCATTTTGTGCCTTCAAATTTTGTTCCCTTTTCTCCTCTAACTCAGAGGTTATCTCAAGGTTTTCTTGTTTTAGGTCCTCATAATCTTGTGTGAGTTGCTCTATGTACTTCTCCAGCCTTTCCCTGCTCTCTTTGTAGGCCTCTATTTCATCGGACATGTCAGTTATCTGTTCTTTCAGCGCTTCTCTGGTAGTGGTATCATCTTGATATTCATCGGTTTCTGTGTTGCATCTACACTTTTGGCAGTAAACTTCTTTATCCTGCTGACTTGATTCTTCTAGCTTGCTGGAAAGCATAGATATTTCCATGCTTTTCCCCTTCAACATATCATCAAGGTCCTGCACAGCCAGAATCAATTCCGAATTTGATTCTTGTGTTTTCTGTAGCTGCAACTCGAGATTGACCTTCAACTCCTTTTCGTGGGCAAGCTCCTTCCTCATCTCTTCTATCTTCACCCTTGACCCTTCATTTGATGTCTTTACTCGGTCCAGAGCCTCTGCTTCTACAGTCTTCCTCAAGAACTTGAGTTGTTCGCATTCTCTCTCCAGTGCATCTCGCTCCTCCTTAATGTCCATCATCTCTCTTGATAAATCTTGTGCTCTTTTGGTCTCTTTCGTTACTTGTTTCCGAAGAGTCTGCAATTCCATATCTGATAACTCTGACTGACGCATGAGACCAAAGATTTCACTTTTAAGCTTCTGAATGGATTCATCTCTAGCTTCATGGAACTGTTTTGGAACATTATTATCATCACCAGGGCTGTTTGTTGAATCAACTAAACTTTCATCTGATGCCGAGGCCATTGACCATTCTGTGCTTGATCGTCTGTGTAGGCGGTTCTTTGTTGTTGTTGAATTTGCATCAACCGATGCCCTCTGAGGCATTGAGTTTTGTCTTCCAACTGACTTGAAGCTGCTTTCATTAGAGCCATTGGATGCTTTGAAGTTGTCCCCTTCTTCAAAGTCATCTATGTCCTGCTTCCATGACAACAATGAAATTAGTACTTCAGTATGACATGGCAGGATACATCATCCGTCTATAATAAACATGTTAAAGATTTGCTAGTGTATGACATTAAAAAATGGATCATTTAAACCTACTTCTGCAAAATTCTTGTCATCTATGTCTGAACGATCATTGCTCGATAGGCTCATCAACCTTTCATCCTGATGTAGTGCTGCTTCTCCATTACTTGCCCTGTTTCTGAAATACTTTCACAGAATTGCATATTAATATAGGAAAGCAATTCAGGTCAACTGTGCAAGTAAAAGTCCGGTAGAGATTAGAAGAAAAAGAGCATTATCAGTTTTGTGTGTACCTCTGATCGATGCCTCCTTGAATCTTATGAATTGTTATCTGTTTCATTGATGCAGAAATATGAATTTGTTATGAGTGGAAAATGGTTCGATTGGAGCGAAAGACAAAATACAGAATTAGTAATCTTCTGGTTGTAAACATGTAATTCTTGTGCGAGAAGGAGCGGAGCATACATGTAAAACTGCACCAGAATTTGCAAACTTCAGAGGCAGAGAAACAGTCATTGGTTCATTTTCGTCAGCAAAATCTGCAAAATCAATTGAAGATTCTCCAAGATAATCTTTCTTGGCTGATCCCTGCAAAAATGGTCAGCAGGAGTCAAGCTTCAAGCAGAGGAAGATACAATACGACTGGTAAGTGCAGAAGCATGGCTTACACTAGCAACAATGAAGTGATATATTTTCTCGTGCAGCTTTCCTGTTTTGGGCTCCCTGACGAGTTTAACTGTCACATATATAGGATTCTCCCACGAGCAGTTGCCATCTTGAACTGCAGTTTTCTGCAACTTGAATGTGGGCTTCCCAACATCCTCCGGCACTAAAGCCACAGTCAGAGCAGGCTTCTTCATCTGTGGCACCTGAGAAATGCCGTTTGCAGAACCAGTGCGACAGTAAGTCACTCAAATCACTGGATCAGATTACCTCATTCTACAACTATGCATAAACTAGAATATCCATCTTGACTAGACCTGAGCAAAAACCCACTAGAGATTCGGCAGCAAGAAACTGTTTTTTCTTCTTAATGGATTCATACCTGGGTTGCCTGAAACTGCAGCTGAAACACAGCTTTGAACTTCTTCTCCTTGCTCCTCCATGACTTAAACATGTTTCCTTCCCGTTCAGGCTTCCACGCCTACTTCTGGGCTTTCTCAAAGAATCCTCATGAAAAGGCTCACCCACCTGGGGAACTTCTGTGTGACAGATTTTTATTCAGTTACGGCCAGGCGCAGAAACAATGCCTGGTTCTTCGCGAGCAACTGGTTAATAGTCCAGAAAGCACAGGGGGAAAGCAAAGGAGAAGAAGACGGCAGGTGATGTCCTTTTGTGGCTTCTGTTAAACTATAGCTCAGTTTGTCTAATTACGTTTGTAAAACAGAACCCGTTACAGTATGAAGCGGGGAAAACTAAAACCAACTATAAAAAAAAAGGACATGAGCCTTCTCTCCCTCTGACTTTATTGCCATATCGTGTGTGTATTATTGCGCAAAACTAGCTGGATTTGCTCCCAATTGTTATTTTATGGCTATGGATCTTGGTTTTCTTTTTAATGCAGGAAAGTACTACTACTAGGAGCTGGAGATTAAAGACACCCCAATGACCCTACATTTCGGCGATATATCTCCATCTGCCACCTCAAGGTCTCCTGGTGAAATCTCATATATATCCCTCCCTACAGCATCGTCGGCGACAGGGATGCCAATGTGTCGGAGGCAAAGAATTTCATTCAGACACTACACAGAAAGAAAGTGTGCCCTCTTAAAGTCGAGCTCAACCGTCCCACACAAGAGAGGTATTTTTCTCCAACCAGCTACCCCCCACCATTTAATTGACGCAACTGCATTCATCCGTATATACTGTCCCCAATAATTGCGCTGAAACATGTTTTGCTCTGCGTGAAAGGCCTAGAGCGAGTAGTCAAGAGATTAGGATTATGCCATTATGGTCCATCAAAGTTTTCTAAAGATTCCTCAGTTACTGCCTATTGTAGTTTAATTGGTAGATGGCCATTATGGCCATGACCAGTTCGGAGTTGAGACATGCCAAAATAATAGGAGTTTGTTGAAAGATGCCAAAAATCCGAGGCTGGTGTTGTTAGAGAACTAAAATCATGTTACTCAATTTTGATTCTTGTGATTTATAATCGTTGGATACATGTGGTGACAATCATATATGTTATGGATCATAAAATGTATGATCAGACGGTGTAAGTACTGGACGAAAAAATCCAGTAAACCTTGCACCTAAAATTTGTTTTTTCCCCCTTCCTATAGAGACGAGGTCGGCCCCAGAAAAGGCACCGGATGCCTTTACCTTCCGCAAAGCTGCAGCACATCCTCATCGCGTTCCAGCAATGCAAAATATTAGAAAAAAGGCCTGCCCCATCTTTGGCTTGGTTGCATTATTTGTGGTCAAAACAACACTCAAGTTGGCCTGTTATTATGTTAAAGCACGTGGTCACATGTGCCATGACCACCTTCTCTTTCCTGCTTGCTTACCCCTAATCTGATGATTATTATCTCGATCCAATTACACAAAACAAAGCCATGTTTCTTCATGTACTCATAGTCATAGACAACGAATACAATACGTGCGTGGGATCAGGGATCTCACCTGGGTTTTCTTTATTGTGTCTTTTTACTTAATCGAGATGGGTCTTTTTCCCCACTTCGAATGAACTTATCTGTTCTTTCACTGCTGAACATTCACACAGGATGAAGTCAACTACCAACGGTACTACACCATTTACTGTCAGAGCCGTAATAAAGGAAATCTGCTGCATATCTCTACATCGCACGAGTCAACTCGTCTCGGAAACGGCCTCAGCTGAAGCTTCATGATGGTTATAAGGTACACGCCATGCTTTTCCCTTTTACCCAACTGCAACTGCTAATTTACTAATTACATCTCAATTCCTATTAGCCTTTTCCCCATTTTGCTCTGCTGTTGCTGTTACCATAGCTTGCTCTCTTTAACTGCCAAACCAAACACACGGGGTTTGGCCAGGAAAGCTACCCGCTAGCTTTCTGTACAGGGCCAGTTTCGCTGCCCATTGCTTCTTTACTAGCCAGATTGTGATTGAGGACAACAGTTCAACCCACTGATTTTTCTAATGCATTTCCATGCCTTCCAGTCCCAATCCATTCAATATGGTCTCACTGATATTCTCTCCCTTCTTGTGATATAATACAAAATCAGCACCCACCATATTCCTCCCCATTTAAGAAGGGTTTTTGATTATTTTGAGTGAGCCAACCATATTATACTGTTTCAACCTACATCTCCCCAGTATAAGATCATAATGCAAAAATTGGACGTTAGTGGCTTTCATACCTTCTGCAATCTGCATAGCTGCCTCACACTACCAAACTAGTGGATTCTGTTGACTAGGAAGACGATAAGTATGTGAGCAGGAAAGCAAAAGGTTCTTATAATCATTGGATTTCTGTATTTTTTCTTTGGTAGTAGCTCGAGTGGCCCAGAGAGAGTTGTCATGGGCGGGGAAATTAGTATTTTATCGTTAGTGGGGAAGAAGACCACATTTTTATGAGAGGAAGGTGAAATAGGGAGAGAGCCATTGGATTCTGGTGGAAGAATGAATGTGTTAGAACTTAGAATAGATGGCGAGGAAGAAATGCTTGAATCATTGATGCCAACATCGTGGCTGTCTTCACGCTTGAAAATGATGGAAAGTTGGGAAAAAAATTTGATTGCGTCCTTTTGTGAAGACCTTTTGCTTGTGCCCTTAAAGTCAGTAGGTCCTGTGTCCTTGTTTAGGTGCTCCATTGCCCATTGGAAATCCTATACATGGGGTGGGAGTCCTTAAACTCTAATCCGAAGTTGATCTCTGATTTGTGCGTGTGTTGTAGCTTCATTGGTTAAAATAATTGTTAAACGATATATCTTGGTACTAGGTGTAAGTTATATTCACTTGTGTAAGTGTGTAACTTACGGTTCGTCTAGTTGGTATTTTTGGGAACTTGGATGGAATTAGTGCCGTAAACGATCCGAAGCGAGCCGAGGATTGCCATGGTTCGGGTTTGGCTCGTTAAAATAATTTCAAGTTCGAGTTCGGCTCGAGTTTGGCACGAGTTTTAATAAGCAAACTCGAGCTCGGCTCGTTTACAATAAAAGTTCGAGTTCGGCTTGACAAATGAGATTAACGAGCAATATTAAAGTTCAACCGATGAAATGTCGATTGTAGCTCAAGCTCGATTCACAAAAGACCAACAACAAAGACTTGAAGGATTTTGAGCTTGTTTGCAAGCCTATTGAGCAGAATATGTCATGGCTCGAACTCGGCTCGTTTATAAACAAGTTTGTTCATGTCTGACTCAATTAAAGACGAATCGAGGGCTGAATGAATTTTTCTCAAATTGGACACTGAATTGTTCATAAGTAGGTTGATTGATTAACATTAATTGAATTAGCTCTTGTGAGTTGATCAAATGTTTGTGGGTTATATTTGGAGGGGTATCAAAGCCCAAAGTTCAGCATATATATGATAGCGGCCTACCCAGCTATCTATCCAAGTCAAGCCCATTTTGATGAGCTAATAGCCCTAATCAAGTACGGATACCAACTGGTCTCAGGCAAGGTCATTATTACAGGCCTGGTTTTGGGGCCTTAGCTTTTAATGGCCTATGGAGGTGTACACCTGTAAATTTTTTTTGGATTTTGGAGTATAAATTTGGTCAGGGTTTATATTTATCATTTGTGTTCTTATATTTTCGATACAATAATTAATAATTTCCTATAAATTTACTATTTACATTTAATTGGTTTGATTGACGAGTTATATTCACTTTATCTCTTAAGGTTGGGGTGTACAACAATACGGTATGGACTAAACTAGTACGATTCGCGATCAAATAATGAAAGACATCTGAAGACTAAAAACAGGATTATTCGGTTCGATTTTGTTCGATCCAAATGACAATTCATTCCATTTTTTTGTACTTAAAAAATTCATGAAAGCCATAATCATACTACATTAGATTCAATTCGATATGGTTCAGACTCTCGTACATGCATCATTTTGATCCAGTGCGATCCGACTAAACCCTTGCATTCCCCCATCTTAAGCTAGTTGAGATTTCACGCCCCACACACACACTAATTGCCAAACCTGTCATTACTTTGGATTAATTTCCATGGGCCCAATCTCCAGTGACGTCACTGGTGACTGCAACTTGATTCTTGTTCTCTTTAACATTTTGGAAACCTACCCCAACGACGTAGTATCGACAGTCGTCGCGCGAAACCTCAGACAAGCGACAGTTGGCAGCTGCAATAATCATGTGCTAGATGGATCCTCTCTCGATCGAGAGTTTCATCCTTTTGCTGTGTTCTCCACAGTCCACACCTTCCAAGTTCAACCATTAATTTCCACAGCCTACATTGCTTTCTCAGAAGGGATCAGAATCCTTGGCTCTTCTTATCTATCAGATCAGCTACTCGATTGAACCCACGTGGCAACGATCCACCCTTTTGGGAGATAATTGGTAGAAACATCGGAGACGTGGCGTGGCGAACACAGTCCCCAAATCCAGACCTTAAACTCTCTCTTTCTCTCACTCACTCCCTCCTCGTGCACATTTTTACTGTGGTCTCTCAGCTATCTCTCAACACCATCCGTCTGTTCTTTCTGGGGAGCGAGGAGGAAGAAGAAGAAGAAGCAGAAGAGAGAAGATGGCTTTAGCAGTAAAGGCGTTACCTTTCACGTTTGTGGCGCACGCGATTGCGGTCGTGGCTGCAGTCATGGTTTTGGTTTGGTGCATCCACTTCAGAGGCGGCTTGGCTTGGGAGGATACCAACAAAAACCTCATCTTCAATGTAAGTTGTAACTAATTCCTCTCCCTGAATCTCATGCTTCTGGTTTTGATGGTGGGTATTGTTGTCTTCTTCCTCTCTGCCCCTGTTCATCGAAATCTGGAACTTCAATCAGTGGCCATCGCTAATCATAGCTCCATATGGGTTTTGCTTACTTGCGGTCAATGAATTCGGTTGCTGACTGCTGTTGGGCGAATGGTTTGCTCTTATATGATTGATTTTTTGGCACTTCCATTTCACTCTTTCCTTATCTAATTAAGCTCGTATAATGGGGATAATCTTACTAGGCCGTTTTCCTTATCGGTTTGCAGAACTTGATGAGTAATTGGGATTTGAAAGTTTGGAATTTTGACAGAGTGTCTGTGAAACTAAGAGTTACTAGAATAACCCTCCATTGCAAATTTAAGAGGGAATATATCAATTTGGCCAAAAAGGATCCTATTGTGTTACTC